TGAATTCTCTCTTTCTTTCTTTTTTTAACTGACAGAGAGATGCAGTCCCCCGCTAATGGACCGGCCTAACGAAGTGGTGCAGGAACCCACTTCATACCTGATCATTCAACACACAGCCACGCCACCTTTGCTTCCTGTTAGCAGTCCATCAATACCCTCGTTTGTGTCTAAAAGACATGTAAGTGAATGGAAGATCCTTAGTGCAGAGCTCGAGCAGTATTTATAATGGATACCAGAAATCAACAAATGGGTACTAGTGATGTCTCTAATGCGCCTTCACGACATCATTATAAATGAACCGCTTCAAAAAGAATTGTGTGTTTTATAAAAACATTTCATTGTGCCAGGCACACCAAAGCCAAACTGTTACATACGAACTTTTTCAAGATTAATTTCTTTCCCGTTAAACTTGGAAATGTAAACACCTTTATCTGTCAGGATCTGCTGATGTGCCAGCTGCACTTTTAATGTTAAGAAAACACCCTATTCTGAAATTTGACATTTTATTAAATTAAGCACCGGGATTTCAGATTATTTGGGTCTGTCTGCTCTCCAGGTATAAATATGTTCCAGTGGATTTTTTTCTGTTTTCTAGGAGAGCATTTGACTGTTTACACTTTAGTAACAAAAAGCATTCAAATAATCAGCCAAGATTACAGACGCCAAGATGCTTGCAAAGCTAGCTAGCTGCCATTTTGTGTTCAACATTTCAGTCTTCGTGCCGGGCAGACAGGTCATTATAGCAAATATGCGACTTATCTGATCATTTCAAGTAAGTTTTTATCTCCTTGGATCACATGACGCGCAAGTGCTCTCTGTTTGTTAGTTTGGAGCATTGGATTTGGGGGCCTCGCGTGTGTCACTTCCTCCTCCTGAAAGATTCAAGTAGTTTAGGGGTACGTGTGTGCGCGTGTGTGTGTGTACTGTTGTGTCCATGTGTATAGACGTGTGTGCCGGCGTGTGTGTTTGAGCTCTGTCTGAGGTACAGAGTACGTTTCTCAGGTCAAAGGAGAGGTATGCAGATAGAAAGAAAGCACACCTGTGTAACACACACGCAGACACACAGTGCCATACACACACAAGTGTACACAACCATATCTAGATGCAAAAAAAAAAACAAAAAAGGAAAAAAATGGCAGCCCACATATAAGTTCATACCACCCTCAGAGCTGTTTAAATGTAATATTGTGAAATTTGAACCTGTATTAGGTTGTGGCTCTTCTTGGTAATCTGTAAACGTAATATAAATGTAAACAGTATATATATAAACATCATATCTATTTTTGGAATAAATCCAGTGTACGGAAAGGCGGTTGTTTTGCAGGTTGCGATGTGTGTATCGTATGTGTGTCGTACTGTCGAAATGAGGCAATAATGACGTCTGTGTTTCGGTTAATAGGCCAGCATCAGTTCATGTTTCTTTGCTACATGCTTCCTACATGGCAGTTTAGGAGTGTGCATGCTGTGAATACGAGTTGGTTTTGTTTACGGTACGTCTTCCATTTTGTTTACTTTGAGGATGATTCTTGTTAATGACAACTTGGGTGTTTTGTTTTTTTTCTTTATTTCCACCATGTATCAATTTTAAACCCAAATTGCATAATTTAAATAGTCAAATTCGGGGGAAAAATGATGATAAACAATAACATAGTCCATGTACTGCTTTTTGATCATATCGTTTGTGTACACATGTGTTTCCACTGTAACAACGGTGATTAATTTAAACTGGATCTGAACAATTGTGTTAGTTAGAGCAATAATAAATCAACAGAAGCACATTAGGCACAGGTCTTTATAATCTGTAAATTAATGTTGCCTAATTTAGCTGCTCCATTTCCTGCTTTAACTTCATTTTGGATTTTCAAAAGACTGGTCAGACCAATATCTTAAATTTACTTGGCAGATTAGAGGTGCCCAGTGGAGTTTACTTACAAAGCAAATATTGTGACCTCAAGTGTCATTCACCAAAACCCATTGTTCTCTAAGAAACGTCTGGAGTGCATTTCCTTTTGCAATGCAGATTCATTGGTAGATATTTCAAATCCAGCATTGTTTACGTTCTTGCTTACTTGGTAGCAGTCTTGTTCTTCCTGTCGATCAGTGTAGTGTCTGCAGCCACTTGCAGGAATGTGTAACATTACTCACATTCTTGCACAAGTGGAGCAATGGCTAGATGCAGAAAAAGGTGCGATAGAACTGCTAGAGGCCGAGAATTCCCGGGGGTGAAACTTGAGTCGGTAATGAAAGTCAACATTAGTTGCAGCAACACCATCAGTGCTCACTGAGGTGGCACGCCATTAAGTTAGCTGTCTGATCTTTCCTGCTTCATCAAATCTATACTTGTTATAAACAGTTAACCGGTTTAATCCAATCTGGTCATAATCAGATTACATTAAACAACACAATACGTAAGAAAACGTGACCCAAGTTGTGACGTACTGAATTATCCTTTAAAATCTGTGTGTGCCAGACAGTCATCCTTTACGTCATCTTTCTTCTCGTCTCTCTCTTTCTCAGGGTAGGAGTCGAATTAAATTGCATTTAATACCTATGGAACGATTCTCTGAGATTGTTGTATTTATTTTAAAAGCACTTTTTCAAGAAGCACTTTTTGGTTTTTGATTTTTTAATTTGGTGGCGCTACGCGCCCCTACGTAATTCCCTCCCTCAGAGCGATGGGAATGTTTGACTTGACGAGTGAATCACGTAGACACTTTAGAATATCTTTTTGTTGTTGTTTTTTCTTCAATGCTTTCTGCCAAAGTGTGTCTTCCCACCAGTGTACAACTGGGTTTCATATCTGTGAAGTAGCCTCTTTTCTTGCAGTGGTCTTAGAGGTGTAGATTTATCTGAAGCAGCCTTTGTTTGATCCATTGCTCATGTGTTTTTTTTTTTTCTTTGTGAATCATGTGATGGAGTTATTAGCTGGAGAAGAGAATGCCACAAGTCAAAGAAAGACTTTGAAGATTCGTCTTAGATCACAGCTCTTTCTTCCTCCTCTGCTTTTATCTGTTCACCGCTTTGAGCCGTTTGAAGTGAAACTGCACAGAGCTAGCACCGCTTCGTTGTCAGGGTTAAAAGAGGAAAAATAGGGCTGCGTTTGTCAGGGTTGTTCACATGGTCAGAATATGGCATCCCACCCGTCACTAAGCCTAAGCAGTGCTTCTGGCCTATACTATTTGTATGTATGTGTATTTAATGCGTGTTTGTGTGCCCCCTTCAGTTTGAGAGTGTTTTAGCTACGGGTATGTTGTCACATTATGCATAATGGTACGTTGCATTCATCTCTAAGTGCCATTAAGTTTGCACATTAGCCTCGTTCACCTCTTTTTGGGCGTTCGCTGTATTGCACAGTGTGTGCCCCGAACTTTATTGAGAAACAATGGGTGTGAAGTTGTTACTTACCAATTACTTATTATTTACACTGAGACCATTTCAAAGTTTTTCTCACATTATAGCTTATTATTATATTAGGGCATGTGTGTGCAGATGTGTGGGGGAGTGGTGGGAAAAACAGCCGTGTGGTTAAATGCCTTTTTTTGTAAAGCGGACTGATGCTGGTGTCTTTGTTTTTGGGTTCTTTTTTTCATTTAGAGTAATGTGTCTGTTACCTGTTGTCAATTTAGCTTGTACATTCAGATATGAACCTAATAAATATGTCAAAGATAAATACGCCTCTGTTTGTGTGACGCTTACTTAAAACCAGTGTAAAACACACACACACCACACAGTACACAGAGAGAGAGTCAATAGGACATGGTCTTTGGAATATGTTTACCTTAAGGGCAGTTGAACAGGTGGATTATGTTGCGTCCCCGTCTCCCACACCTACAATCAGTGCTACACCCTCACATTGTTTCCCCTGCTGCAAACATAAACCTGCCTGTCAGTTAGATGTCAGTGTGCTGCAGGCATCAAGTAAAGTTGGTTCACATAACAGCTGAGAAGGACCTGAAGAGCCTTCATTTGTGCTCATTCGCTTCACTTACATTTTAGTTTTTCAGCCTGTGGTCCTCTCTATATGTAGTTACCATTTTACCC